ATGGCCTTATACCCTTGCACCGAATTGGCTCTATCACTGTCTCTCCACTCCACCTATAGCTGGTGTATGGTGAGCGCACTGGCGAGGTTGTCATGTAGCAGCCGTCGCACCATCCAAGTAGATGCTGCACACTAGTGGTGGTTTGGAGAGGACCCCCCCCCCCCCCCCTCATGATTGTGAAGCACTTTGGGTGTATGGCCATACACATTACATTACAAACAAACATTACATTACAAACAAAATAAACAAACAGTATTGATTTGTCAGACTCACCCCAGCACTGATTTGGCGCTCTCGTCTGGTTTGCGGACAGTAAAGGGACTGGGGTCGAGACCGACTGTCTTCGGCATGAAATCCCTGAGGAACAGACAGAGAGAGAGAAATCACGCTCAATGGTCAGAGACAGCAGTGTGTGAATCTGGAGATTAGAGAAGCTGTTCACACTCAAGACATCTGCATGTACATCCTGTGAAGAAGCCGACTGAATGAATTACAATGTGTGAGAGGTTACGTTCAGTGTGTGCGAGTGTGAATGAGTGAGTGTGAAAGTGTGTGTTCTGACCTGGCTGAGTTGGTCATAGAGATGCTGAAAGTGTCATCGAAGGCTGTGAGTTCGTACGGTTTGAAGAACTCAGTGTAGATGTCTGTGCTCTCCTCATATCTGTTCACACGCTTCACTGAAACCTTCTTCATGTTCTCCTCACATTGAGCTGAACACACACACACAGAAACATCCAACATTCAACTAAAACAGCGACTACTGCACTGATTAGACTGCAGATACACAAATACACACACTTAAAGTCCACATGAGCCAAAGCTGCGCCCATTTTACCCGTATTGTGACAGTTTCTAGAGCAGTGGTTCTCAAAGTGGGGGTCGGGACCCCCCAAGGGGTCGCGAGACAATAAAGGGGGGTCGCCTGGTGATTTCCAAAAATCTATTTATTTATATTAAACCATAAGAATTACCATATTTTATCAATAAACTACTGAAGAGAAAAATTGTTGTTTATAGTTAATATATACAAAATAGTTACTACAGTAGCTTATAGTTACTAGTTCTATTGGATTGCGACCCCTGGTGTAATTACATAATTTTAAAGACACACCAATGGCGTCAGATGCAGCAGATTGATTTTATAACATCAGATTAAACTTTCTGGCACATATACAGCTCTGATTTACATTAAAAAAAGATTAAACTAAGAATAAACTTGGGTCTATTGGTGTGTGTGCGCTATTGCATGCAAGGTTTCTGTATATATAACCACCTCAGAGGATATTGGGGGTCGCGAGTCACTAGCATTGTTATTTTGGGGGTCGCAAGCTGAAAAGTTTGGGAACCCCTGTTCTAGAGAAGCGGAATAATTAAATGAGCAAACAGTGGGCGTGGCTTGTTTTTCTACTGCAATCTGATTGGATGTAGTAAAGTAGGCGTGTCATTCAGAAAGGGGAAAGGGTTTGGGGAGAGTTATTACAGCCTAACAGACTCCTCCTCCTCCTCATCATTTCTGTTTGTCATAGCGATGGCAAAAGTGACAGATGGAGGGGCGTGGCTAAGTATGTTAGCCACGCCTAATACCTCAGACAGATGTGCTGAGGTAGATAAACTGTTTGATCTTTATAATTGCTTTTTGTAACCTGGCATTTTAATATAATATTTAGAGAATGTTCATGAGAAACACAACTACAAGCCCTCGGGGGGCTTCTTCAGATTATCCATGACGATCTGCATCTGTATAATGTGATTATTATTAGCAGTATTATTGATTATATGCAGATTTATATTAGCTTTAATAAACACAAGTGTAGATGTGTCCAGCTGTGGGGTTTTGGAGACGTCTGCATCAGCATATGTGGATAAGAACAAGACGTGTGTTTGGATATAACTCAGTTTTCTGACCACACTTCATTATTATTGTTCATTAATTCCTTTGCTGGAGATCAGAACTGAATTTAGAAATAGTTTCTGCACAAATCTTTGCTCTTAACAAAGGAAATTAAATCTGTGGGCTGATGGATGTGTTCAGTGGAGTGAGTTTCCACCGTTTCCTCACTCCACCAAAGTAAAGGAGTAAATAGTAAAAGTAAAGAGGCTGAATGGAGGAGGCTCGTTCTTTATCCTCGCGCTGCAGATGCTCTGTTTAACTGTTTTCTCGCTAGTGAAGCGTTCAGTTTTTACACTTACGAAGTTCGACATGTAAATAGCAAATGCACCATGGAGCGACGCAGCTGACTCTTAAAGGGAATGCGATCTTGCGTCCTCATGTAACATCATCATCAACTGTCAACGTTCATTTACAATACTCAAGCCTCCAAGAACGAAGGACGCTTGAAAGTTCCCGGATGTGATCTTGATATCAAGGACGCATGGATGCAGACTTGAGCACCGAACTTGCTCTAGAAGTCCCAGAAGTCATTGCGACTGGAGGTGGGAAGCGCTGCATTTTATATAGATTTATTATTAAAGCTCAGAGATTTCACTTATGTACCTCAGGAGTTTCCCAAAATTAAACAGTGAAAGACAGTAAACATTACCTTGAACATCATAATAAAGGAATGAACACATTAAGGGTGTTTATTTGCTGAAATTCCTATTAAAATCTGTTTTATTTATATTGTGCAGCGTATATTTGTAAAGTCGTTATTTATGGCATATATTTTGAAAAGGGGAAAACCAATAAATCGCTGTATGAATGCTGTAATGTTAATAATTTTCCATTACAAACGCGTGAAGGTCATGTGACCATCAGGAAGAATTAGGGAAGAACGCAGCATCTCATCTCTCACAGGACGCGTTCTCTGTTCTCGTGGTCTCCCGAGTTCGTTCTTCTGAGGTGACCTGGCAAGACCGATCTCCACAATAATGCAAGTCCGTTCTCTGTGTTCTTGGAATTGAGAAACAGCCTCTGATTGATTTAATGCAGGTTATGCTCTAAACCAGGGGTCGGCAACCCAAAATGTTGAAAGAGCCATATTGGACCAAAAAAAAACAAAAACAAATATGTCTGGAGCCGCAAAAAATTCAAAGCCTTATATAAGCCTTATAATGATGGCAACACATGCTGTATGTATTTATATTAGCTATATTAGCCTACTATAAAAATGATTTAGTTGGCTACAAATACATACTGAGCCTTCATGATTAAATGTTCATTTCCCTGCAGTGCATCCTGTAGAGAATGACGCGCCACGTGACTACTCTGTTGTACGATGCCGTCTCAAGTTTAACTTAATTACAGTATATTAATGAATTATGTTTAATGTTCAAGTTTAACTTCATTACAATATTATTGCATTATGTTTAATGTTCAAGTTTAATTTCATTACAATATTATTGCATTATATTTTGCTTTGATGAAATTAAAGAAATGCAATAAAGAAATCAGATTTTTTTAAATGTTTTTTTATTTTTTATTTTGAGGATTCAAAAAAACAACATCAAAATGAACGTGCACAACGTGCCCCTTATCTGGGCAACAAACAGTGCAATAAAACGCAGCCTGCCATTTCCATTTCAAGATCAGCTCGAGTCATTCCTGGGAATGTGCTCAACAAGGAAGGGTCAATCTCCAGGGGTGTGTGTCAAGGAAAGACAGTCTCGTTTTTTCCTTTCGCAATTCGCAAAATCTGCTCCCAAATGCAGTTTGCATATCAACGATCGCACCTTGTAAATAATCACCGTTGAGTGAGTGATCGGGATGGGCTTCTTTGAATTCTCTCAGGGAGGGAAAATGAGAAAACGTGCCTCGCTGTACATCTTTGGCAAAGACAGCTTGCGCTCCATGGCGCATCACACAGCCGTCGGTTTGTTTACAACAGCTACCTGCCTGGCATCCCGCCCTGCTGATAGAAACGTGTGTCGCAGGCTATGACGCAAATCTTCGTTGACAGAAATGTTGAAATTAAATATTCTACACACTTTTACAGCATTGGAAAACGTTAAGATTGTTTGTCCTCCTATAGAAACCATATTAAAACAAAAAATATATTTACCTCCCTCATCGTTTTCCATTTTCAAACATTTTTTGAAAAAGTTCCAGGGAGCCACTAGGGCAGCGCTAAAGAGCCGCGGGTTGCCGACCCCTGCTCTAAACACACTCAGAACTTTTAAAGGTTTAAGAAAAGTTTTGTTGAATTAAAAAGTGCACCTATACAGCTGTATTGTGCTTGTTTTGAAACATTAATTAAAACTTTTGTGGCCAAGAAATAATTATTTATTTATTTATTTTTGGTGGTCAGAGATCAATTTAGCAAATTCCTAATTTTAAGCACTGAAGAGTCAGGTGAAATAAAACTAACTGCTATATGATGCTATGAAACAACAACTCATTTGCTCATGCTCACTGAGCAAACTCATACACGACACACACACAAAAGTGAAATCAATGAGGAGGCATGTGGACATAACACAACATCTAAATCAAGTCATTTCAGCATGTCAAAGTCAAATTCATGCATGTAAAATAAATTTTCCCAACGACAAAATTGTGGCTATAGTGAAAACGGCGAGTGGCTAGTCATGTTGGAACTCTACTAACCACAGTGGCTGGTGATCAAAAAAGGTAAAATCAAGCCCTGTATATACAGTTGAAAACAAGTTTACATACACTCTAAAAGAGGAACATAATTATTTTAAATTTTAAATTATTTAAAAGTTAAATCACACTAAACATTTACTATTTTAGGTTCTTTAGGATTACCTTAATGATTTACATTTGCTAAATGCCAGAATAACGAGAGACTTTTTTTGAGAATTTTGTAATAATTTCTAGACAGTCAGAAGTTTACACACATTTCCTTGGTTTTTTTTTTAGCTTTGGTCAAGTGTTTTGGGTCTCCTTCCACGAGCTTCGCACAATAGTTTGCAGGAGTTTTGGCCCATTCCTCCTGACAGAATTGGTGTAACTGAGTCAGATTTGTAGGCTGTCTTGCTCACACAAGCTTTTTCAACTCTGTCCACATATTCTCTATAGGATTGAGATCAGTGCTTTGTGATGGCCACTTCAGAACATTCACTCTGCTGTCCTTAAAGCACTTATTTGGCAGTATGCTTAGGGCCATGGTCTGTTTGGAAGAGCCATTTGTGGCCGAGTTGTAATCTCCTGGCGGATGTTTTGAGATGTTGCTTCAGTATTTCTCCATAATGTTCTTCTTCATGATGCCATCTATGATGTAAAGTGGACCAGTCCATCCTGCAGCAAAACACAACACGATGCTGCCGCCCCCATACTGCACAGTTGGGATGGTGCTCCTAGGCTTGTGCGCTTTCCCCTTTGTCCTCCAAATGTAACACTGGTCATTATGGCCAAACAGTCCAATCTTAGCTCCATCAGAGCACAGGACATGTCTCCAAACATGAGTCTTGTTCCCAGTGTCATTTAGCACATTATAATCTGGCTTTGTTGTTGATTCTGGCTTGTTGATTCCCCATGTTGTCACACATAGAAGCAGTGTGTTTGAGCTTTTCCTTAATTACTGTTCTACAGTTGTGCCTCACATTAACTCAAATGTTGTCAATCAGAAACGTCCAAAGACCCCATCATCTGAGCTTTTTCAGAGGCAGAATAAGCTTATTGTGTGTTAACTTGACTTTCAAGAAAAGTTATAACAATTTCTCAAACAACATCTCTCTCATTATTCTGCTATTAAGAACAACAGAAACAAAACTGATGATCCTAACTTACCTAATAGAGGAAAAAGTCTAGTCACATTAACATCTGACTTTTATTAATGGTTATAAGCCTCTTAGAATAAACTTCTGGTTGCAAATATATATATATATATATGTGTGTGTGTGTGTGTGTGTGTGTGTGTGTGTGTGTGTGTGTGTGTGTGTATACATCTAAACCTCTAACAGATCTCTCTTTTTCAATAGTATTTTCTACAGGATGCTTTACAGTAATATTTGTGTGCAGATACATTAGATTACTCAGTAGCAAAGACAAAACTCAAGAAGTAATCTTACAAAAAAAACTGAATCTCACAGTCCAGAAATGACTATACACTAATTTATGTTTGCAAAAAATATTAAATAAATGTGTCCTTGTGTGTGTGTGTGTGTGTGTGTGTGTGTGTGTGTGTGTGTGTGTGTGTGTGTGTGTGTGTGTGTGTGTGTTTGTGTGTTTGTGTGTGTGTGTGTGTATCCATGATCACCTTCATCAAACGGTAAGGGCAGGTAGGTCAACACTCCGCCAGTCCACCAGTGTGTGTAGCTGGAAAACACAACCAAGATCAAAATGAAAAGGTGTCGCTGCGCTACTGATATTTATCATTTAAAGACGATATGAACCCTTCTGCTAAATTACAGAAGATTTATTCACGCAATATTAAATGTAAAATAAAGTTATAAACTCCTAGTGCTGGGTTGCAGCTGAAAGGGCATCCGCTGTGTAAAACATGTGCAAAACTGTCTATAACATCCAGCGTAACATTTATTACTTAATAAAAAATATTAATTATTATTAAGTAATAATATATTACTTAATACTTAATTACTTAACATGCGCGTATGTGTGTATGTGTGTGTGTGTGTGTGTGTGTGTGTGTGTGTGTGTCTGTGTGTCTGTGTGTGTGTTTGTCTGTGTCAGTGTGTGTTTATATGTGTGTGTGTGTGTGTGTGTGTGTGTTTGGGTGTGTGTGTGTGTGTGTGCGTGCGTGTGTGTGTGTGTGTGTGTGTGTGTGTGTGTGTGTCAGTGTCTGCTTGTGTCTGTTTATGTATGTGCAGGCCAGTAGTCAGCCTGGTGTAAGGGCTGGTTCTTTTTTCTCCAAAAGTGGACCTTTTAGCAATTCTACACCTCAGTTTCTATTTAACTATGAGATTTAAATACTGCATTTTAGTCACATTTTTGCTGGATTAGCTAGTCAGACGTCATCATAACCACACCTTTTGATATACTAAAATATTTCCCTAAAATTACAATAAAAAAAAAGACAAATTTTTAAAATACAAATTTATTAGATAATAATTTAAATAGCAATTTAAAGTAAAAAACAAAACAAAACTGTTGCCTACTGTCATTTATTAGACAAAAAACAAACAGGCCAACATATTCAACTGTCCTCAGTCACATTTTGGCCATTTCAATAAAAAAAAAAATAAAATAATAATAATAATAATAATGATGATGATGATGATGATGATGATGATGATAATAATATTAATGATGATAATAATAATAATAATAATAATAATAATAATATTAATGATGATGATAATGAGAATAATAATAATAACAATATTAATGATGATGATGATAATAATAATAATAATAATAATAATAATATTAATGATGATGATGATGATAATAATAACAATATGAATGATGATGATAATAATAATAATAATAATAATATTAATGATGATAATAATAATAATAATAATAATATTAATGATGATGATGATGATAATAATAACAATATGAATGATGATGATAATAATAATAATAATAATAATATTAATGATGATAATAATAATAATAATAATAATAATAATAATGATGATGATGATAATAATAATAATAATATTAATGATGATAATAATAATAATATTAATAATATTAATGATGATGATAATAATAATAATAATAATAATATTAATGATGATAATAATAATAATATTAATAATAATAAAAATAATGATAATAATAAAATAATAAATAATTCCTGAGATTTTTTCTAGCCTCTTTGGTTAAAAAAATAAAGTCTTATTCAATGGATTATTTTTATTATTTAAGTTGGCACAGCAGTTAAAATACGATGAAAATAGGACAAAATGAGCTCATGTATGGGACAAACTCTGGACCTTTTCGTTCGTTCGAACCACCGAACCACCCCTGGCTACGGGCATGATGTGCATGTATGTGTGTGTGTGCGTGTGGTGTATTTATGAGTGTTAGTGTGTTCACGTGTGTGTCTATCTCTCTCTGACTGTGTAGTGAGTGTTTGTGTGTGTAATTCTCTCCCTCTCTCTCTCTGTGTGTGTGTGTGTGTGTGTGTGTGTGTGTGTGTGTGTGCGTGTGTGCGATAACAGTGAAGTTGATTACGAGGACAGCAGGACACTGAACTGGGTCACAAACGCCGCTCTTCACATCATCATCAGTGGACGGAGGTGAAGCAGAGCAGCAGGAAATGATGCGGAAACCCCATCCTGAGTCTGAGTCTGATGTTTACACACTTTACAGCTTTACAACACAATCAAACGCTGGAGCTGAGAGCCGAGTGTGTGTTTGCAGACTTCCCTCATCTGTGAGATCTGCTTTAAATGACTTTACATCTATAGTCAGTCGCTTCTTCGTACTCTAGCCTCCGTTCTGAATCATCTGCTAAATGGTAATCATCAATGTTAATGGAACTCATTATAAATACTTGCCTCTTTTGAGATCTATTTTTGCAGTGTTTAGTATTTAATATTAGGTTTATTTTGATCTATTTGTCTTCTATCTAGTTGTACAGCACTGTTGTGTTTATTTGTGCTCATAGATATATACACTAGATATCATATACAGACCCTGAGCACGCGTCAACAGCGCCACCGTTTTAGTACAGTGCTCCCAGGACAAAAGTCAACTGCACTTAACTCAATGTGAAGATGCTGGACTTGTGCGCTGTGTAAGGATGCAGTAAAACCCAAACAAAGAAAACAAAGCATCAAGGCAGAACTGTTCATAGGTAAGATTTCATTTTTTACCATTTTGTTATGTTGCGAACTTTTGTGCTCAACAAGTAACGTTATTGATGACAATACAGTCACTTACTGCACTGACCATAGAGCAAAGGAGCACCAACTCACACACAATTCTAGGCTTATGCTAGCAAATAGTGTACACTCACCGGCCACTTTATTAGGTACACCTGCTTGTTAACGCAAATTTCTAATCAGCCAATCACGTGGCAGCAGCTCAATGCATTTAGGCATGGAGAAGAAAGGGGATTTAAGTGACTTTGAACTGCTGCCAGACGGGCTGCTCTGAGTATTTCAGAAACTGCTGATCTACTGGGATTATCACGCACAACCATCTCTAGGGTTTACTGAGAATGCTCCGACAAAGAGGAAATATTCAGTGAGCGGCAGACAATTCACACAGCCTCACCAAAACTGGACAATAGAAGATTGGAGAAACGTTGCTGCTCTGATGAGTCTCCATTTCTGCTGACACATTCAGATGCTCGGCTCACAATTTGGCCTCGACAACATGAAAGCATGGATCCATCCTGCCTTGTATCAGCGGTTCAGGCTGGTGGTGGTGGTGGTGTAATGGTGTGGGGGAGATTTTCTTGGCACACTTTGGGTTCATTAGTACCAATTGAGCATGGTGTCGACACCACAGCCTACCTGAGTATTGCTGCTGACCATGTCCATCCCTTTATGAGCACAGTGTCTCCATCTTATCTTCTGACCCATCTTCTGATGGCTACTTCCAGCAGGATAACGCAGCATGTCATAAAGCTCAATCATCTCAGACTGGTTTCTTGAACATGACGATGAGTTCACTGTACTCAAATGGCCTCCACAGTCACCAGAGCTCAATCCAATAGAGCAGCTTTGGGATGTGGTGGAACGGGAGATTGGCATCATGGATGTGCAGCCGACAAATCTGCAGGAACTGTGTGATGCTATCATGTCAATATGGAGCAAAACCTCTAAGGGATTATTTCCAGTAACTTGTTGAATCCCAGACACGAAGGATTAAGGCAGTTCTGAAGGTAAAGGGTGTCCAACAGGATACTAGTAAGGTGTACCTAATAAAGTGGCCGGTGAGCATATTTGAAAAAAAAAAAAACAGTTACCGTCCCACTCACACAAGCCACCAAGTGACATGCGCAACACTGAGGCCAGCAAGCAAACTGTGTGTGTTACCTGTGTCTGTGGTGCGGCAGGGTCATCGTGTTACTGTGGTGCAGGTAGAAGTCTGTCGGCAGCTCCCACAGGTGTGGTTTTGTCTCTGATGGCTGGAAGACCTGCAGGAACAGGTTTATAGCGTCCTGACGGTCTGCATCTGAGACACACACACACACACACATTATATTACATTATTTTACATGTTGCATGCATTATTTTACAGATACTGTACATTATATTGGAATGCACAGCCTGTTGTTCTGCTGATGGTATAATGAATATACAGTTGAAGTCAGAATAAATAGCCCCCCTTTTATTTATTTATTTTTTTAATATTTCCCAAATGATGTTGAACAGATTCAGGAAATGTTCACAGTATGTCTGATAATATTTTTTCTTCTGGAGAAAGTCTTATTTGTTTTATTTCGGCTAGAATAAAAGCAGTTATTAATTATTTTAATCACCATTTTAAGGTCAATATTATTAACCCCTTTAAGTTATTTTTTTTGATAGTCTACAGAACAAACCACTGTTATACAATAACTTGCCTAATTACCCTAACCTGCCTAGTTACCCTTATTAACCTAGTGAAGCCTTTAAATGTCACTGTAAGCATTTCTTCCAGTGTTGTTTACCAATATTGTCTGAATTGATGGAAGTGTGAATGTTGTGAATGCATTACACCAGCGGTTCCCAACAAGGCGGTCCCGGCCCACAAGGAGGCCTCAGCAAGCTCTATGGGGGGGTCCGTTGTATTTAAAAAAACAATTAGCAGTGGACAATTAGTAGAACGATCATGTTGCCTTAGTTCATTTTATCACCTGGCAGACCACAAAAATTGACAAATGTGTAATTCGTCCTCCACAAAAAAAGAAAAAGAAAAAAAAAGGCCGACAATGTACAGTTGCCTCGAACCGGGCCAAAGCACCCTTGTCCCCCCTCCCGTTTCCCCTGACGGCCAGCACTCACATTACATTCAGGCCTGAGCACACTTACATCATGGACATTCAGAGCCCTCACACTTCACAAACGATCCGGGAAACGGGTCTGGGCACGGTTCAGATAGCATAGTGTGAGTAGGCCCTAATAAACTACGGCAGTTTGCTTTCACTGAACAGTAAGGGCCTACTCACACTATGCTATCCATACCCTGCCCAGACCCGTTTCCCGGATTGTTTGAGAAGTGTGAGTGCGCTAAATCGGGCTCAGGCATGGTTCACTTGGGCTTTGGTGCGGTATGCTTGTGTGTGAGTGCAAAACGCGCCAAAGCCCGAAACTGAAAGATGTGACTGTTAAGAGACTGTTTCATATGGATTTATTATTTATGTATTAACCAAACTATTTATTTACTTATCTATTTATTTATTTAATTATTGATTTAATTAACTGTTTATTTATTTATTTAACTCTATTTATTTAATTAACAATTTTTTATTTAACTATTTATTTATTAATCTTTTTATTTACTTAACTATTTATTTATTTATTCATTTTATTATTTATTTATTTACCTATTTATTTCTTTAATAAACTCTTTCATGCAATTATTTATTTATTTAACTACTTAATTATTTACTTAGCTATTTCTTCATTTAATTATTTATTTAACTTTTCATTTATTTACTTAACAATTTTTTATGTAACTATTTATTTACTTAACTTTTTTAAATTATATATTTATGTATTAAACTATTAAATAATTTATTTATTTAAATTTTATTTAACAATACATTTTATTTAACTATAAATTAATTAATTATTTGAATCATTTATCTATTTAACTATTCATATATTTAACTATTAATTTTTTAACTATTTAACTTCTTTATTTAACTGTTAATTCATCATTTAATTAATTTAACTATTTATTCATTCATTTGTTCATTTTTTAAAACTTTCCTTTTATATAGTTGCTAAATCTCAGACTGATATTAAAATAGTCTTGATTTTCTGTAATTTGAGTCAGAATTTGAGCGGGCGCTTGAGAATCTCCAGTCGAATCCAGCATTTAATGTTTGAAGATAAAATTACAGATCATTAGACTTGAAGAAGAGCTGAGAGATGAGCTACAATTATAACAGACAATCTGAAAAAAAAAAGAGGACAAACGAGGAGACGGAGACTGAAGAGCATCTAAAAACCTTTCTGCATCAATATGAGTGAAGGAGAGAAGACGAGTATTCAAATTAAACACACACACACACACACACACACACACACACACACACACACACACACACACACACACACACACACACACACACACTTTTAATAACTAATTTGTAATAACTGATTTCTTTTCTCTTTGTCATGATGACAGCACATCATATTAGACTAAATATTCCTCAAGACACTAGTGTTCCGCTTAAAGAGACGTTAAAAGGATTCACTAGGTTAATTAGGGTAAAGTTAGGGTAATTAGGCAAGTCACTGTATATCATTGGTCTATTCTGGAGACAATCCAACACTTATATTGCTTATTACTTTGTCGGCTGCACATCCATGATGCCAATCTCCCGTTCCACCACATCCCAAAGCTGCTCTATTGGATTGAGCTCTGGTGACTGTGGAGGCCATTTGAGTACATGTGAACTCATCGTCATGTTCAAGAAACCAGTCTGAGATGATTGAGCTTTATGACATGCTGCGTTATCCTGCTGGAAGTAGCCATCAGCAGATGGAGACACTGTGCTCATAAAGGGATGGACATGGTCAGCAGCAATACTCAGGTAGGCTGTGGTGTCGACACCGTGCTCAATTGGTACTAATGAACCCAAAGTGTGCTAAGAAAATCTCCGCCACACCATTACACCACCACAACCAGCCTGAACCGCTGATACAAGGCAGGATGGATCCATGCTTTCATGTTGTTGAGGCCAAATTCTGACCCGACCATCTGAATGTGGCAGCAGAAATGGAGACTCATCAGAGCAGCAACGTTTCTCCAATCTTCTATTGTCCAGTTTTGGTGAGTCTGTGTGAATTGTAGCCTCAGTTTCCTGTTCTTAGCTGACAGGAGCGGCACCCGGTGTGCTCTTCTGCTGCTGTAGCCCATCCGCCTCAAGGTTGGCCGTGTTGTGTGTTCAGAGATGCTCTTCTGCAGAGCTCGGTTGTAACGAGTGCTTATTTGAGTTACTGTTGCCTTTCTATCAGCTGGAACCAGTCTGGCCATTTTCCTCTGACCTCTGACCTCATCAACAAGGCATTTGCGCCCACAGAACTGCCGCTCACTGGATATTTCCTCTTTGTCGGAGCATTCTCTGTAAACCCTAGAGATGGTTGTGTGTGAAAATCCCAGTAGTTCAGCAGTTTCTGAAATACTCAGAGCAGCCCGTCTGGCAGCAACAACCATGCCACGTTCAAAGACACTTAAATCCCCTTTCTTCCCCATTCTGATGCTCGCTTTACACTGCAGCAGATCCTCTTGACCATGTCTACATGCCTAAATGCATTGAGCTGCTGCCATGTGATTGGCTAATCAGATATTTGCATTAATGAGCAGTTGGACAGGTGTACCTAATAAAGTGGCCGGTGAGTGTATGTACAAGTATTAAGTAAATATATATTAATTATATTAATTATAGGGTTATATTAATATTAGTATTTTTATTTAAACATCATCTTTCTGTTTTTAAAGATGTCCAGTGGTCAAGCATGCACCAAAATACATTGTCTATATATATAAATATATATATATATATATATATATAAATATGACTAAAGGAAGTGGCCATGTGTCTGCCATCATGTTTTCCCTAATAGTCTATGATTTGTCAGTGATTTCTTTGAGCCTAAATCATGTCGCCGTGTCCTTAATTCACACAGACAAGTCAAAGGCAGGAGCTAGACGTCTCATTAACATCTATTCAGTCTGAAAATGACATGCAGAGAACAGGTGAAGATGTGCAGGTTATGATGACACAATAATCCGCATCACACAGCTAATCAATAACACATGCAGTGCTTCAGTGCGTGTAGCTGTAACAGTAAAAAAAAAACATCACCTGGTTAACAGCATGCTTTATTGTGTCTTCAACTGGTGATTTCTGGGTGTTTTAAAGGGGTGGTCCACTACAATATCATATGTTAAACTGTAGTCAATGTGAAATGTAGCTGTGTGGACATAAACAGCATCTCTGAATGTAAGATGCTCAAAGTTCAATGAAAAGGGGAGACATTAGCTTTTACAGAGTTAGCTTAGCGAAGTCTACAGCGAACAAAGTTTGGGGACTACAACAACAACAAAAAAAACATATGAAGGGGAGTGGCCAGAGGCGATGTAATGCTATGGCAGAGAAAGCTAAAACGCTGCTACTTCCTCAGAGCTTCTTCTGTTTCTGTATTTGGCTTCTAAACGACACAAAAAATAAGGATGTTCCAGAAGATTACAATAAAGATATAGCTCTAGCGGGCAAAGCAGTGGCACAGTAGGTAGTATTGTCGCCTCACAGCAAGAAGGTCGCTGGGTTGAGCCTCGGCTCAGTTGGCGTTTCTGTGTGGAGTTTGCATGTTCTCCCTGCGTTTGCGTGGGTTTCCTCCGGGTGCTCCGGTTTCCCCCACAGTCCAAACACATGCGGTACAGGTGAATTATAGGCTAAATTGTCCGTAGTGAATGTGTGTGTGAATGTTTCCCAGAGATGGGTTGCAGCTGGAAGGGCATCCGCTGCTTAAAAACTTGCTGGATTAGTTGGTGGTTCAATCCCCTGTGGTGACCCCGGATTAATAAAGGGACTAAGCCGACATGAAAATGATTGAATAAATGAATGAATGAATGAATATAGCTCTAGCATTTGACAGTTGACCCAGTTCAGTGCTGGATTCGGCTGAACTCCTCAAAGAAGCAGCTCAACCATAACAGATGATGCTGTGGATTGTGAGCCACAACCTGCAAGTGCACAACTTCATGCACCGTTTCTAGCGTTAATGGTATGTAGGACGTAAACAAGGATGTAAATGTTGTGTATTTGTGTTATTTGTGCTCTGTTTGTGTTTTTTGTTCTCTCTCGCTCTGTTCTCCCATATCTGCTTTTATTATTCTCAGGTTCCGTTCATTGGTCGATTCCGCTGTCAGTCAATTCCTACCCGGTTAGGTCATTCTTACATCACATCCAATAAGCAAAGACCACCCGTCATAAAAGCGTGCATCAGACCACTCAC